ATTTTAATTATTAAAAATTAAAAAATTAAAAATTTTATATAAATATAATATATAAAATTTATATATAAATCAACCAACTCACCGCATATACTTGAAAAAGTAAATTGTCGCCAGTTACTTAACTAAGATGAGGCGAGCGGACCTCTTTGTCATTAAACGCCCATTCCACATTAGTAATTAAAAGTAGTGTATTTCGTACAGTAATCTCTATGCATTTCTTTTTATGATAGTTCTAAATTAGATAATTCCACCAAGCAATGCAATAGCTGGCGCCTCATTTGAGGCAGACAGGCTCTTCATTTGGTCTGAAGATTGAATCTCTAATTGTTAATATTTAACAATATTAATCTATTAACCATTGTTGTTATAAAAAAGAATTCTAAATTAGATAAAAAGACAGAAACAGAACAGCATTGATTGTGGAATTAAAGTGGGTGGTCCTTGGTGGGCGCATGCTTAGAGTGACCATTAATTTCGTTAGGTTACTAAAATTATTAAATTTTTATTTTATTTTATTATTAAAATAATTAATATTTATTATTTAATAAATTAAAATTAATTTCTAAATAAATATTTTAAATATTATAATTAATTATTTAAAAATTATAAATTAATAAAATTACAAATAAAATTAATAGTCTTTATCAAAATAAACGCTAGCATATCCTTAGAGCCCTTAGGTGGGTATGTAATTGAAATGGTAAAAAAGTGAAGAGAGGTTGGCTTCGTTTTTGGGTATCAACAGTCTCTTTTACAGGGTCACAGAAAAGCAAAATAGGAGTTTTTAATGCTTCAGGGTCAGCCACTGTACCTAAAAACTGTGCAAACCTGCTGGCATGTCTGCTTCTGAGACAAAGATTTGAGCATCTTCTGGCAGGCTGGGAGTTGGGGTTGCCCAACCCACACAACCAAAAACTTCAAATTTGGCTACAGAATTTTCAAACAGGGACTTTTACTTTAGGAATTTTAGGTCAGCCTCGAAAATAATTTTATGTTAAACCGGACCCTGTTCTATTTTGGTAGTAGTGCCCGTTAGGTAAACCACTGAATCTTGAATATGGACCAAGAGTGGAGGACATTCCAATCCAAGTGCTCATGAGATAAATTGGAGCCCCGACATTCCAGATATTGCTGTGCCATCATTTGCAAATGAGATATCTTAATGGTTGAGA